AATTTATTAGTTTGGTTCAATAACTAAAATGTTAAGAAAACAATTTGGATCAAGGCAAAGAATTAAGGTTGAGTCAAGTGCATTATTATTGTTTACATCAACATAAAATAATCAGGTCATAAGAAGTTACTCAATTTAGATTCTGTGAAGTCAAATATTTTAGATGTGATATCTGGACATAATTTTTTTTAGTTTGAGCAAGGTTATACTTTTTTCAGTGTAACAGGAGATGTTTTTTTATTTTGCAGTCCATTGGTGTCTGTTCAAAATAAATGAAAAAAAGCTAGTCTTTTATATGTGATGTTTTTATTTATTTTTTCCCGTTGTACCGAACCCGTACCGAACCGTGACCCCCATACCGAGGTACGTACCGAACCGTGACTTTTGTGAACCGTTACACCCCTACTGTGTAGGATTAAACGGCATCTAAGCACCACACCTGTGAATATTATACTCCAATAGATCCTCCTAAATGTTACACACTGTAATTAAATGTTAATATAAAATGCTCTTTTATAGATATTTTTAAATTTTCCATCAGGAGTCTGACCATGTTATAAGAGTGAATGCTTAATTGGTGGAGAGCTCTTACATGGCTGATGGTTGGATAAAATCCTTTATCATGGTGTATGTCATTTTATATTCCAATGTCAATATTTTTAAGAGAAATCAGATTACAAAAAATATAAATCGGTCCATATTACATTTGAAAAAATGTCTAATTAGATTATACCGTAAAACTTCTAATAATAGCCGTTTATTTGCTTAAATCACTGAACTCCTCCTGCAACACAACTGTTGCCCAGCACAGATGCAAACACTCTCTAACTGTGCTGTTTCTAGTTTCGTTCAGCAAATTTGACACCTAACAGGTAATTTACGCTAAATTTCAGGTTGTACTATTTTCTCTGTGCCGCCACCATGACACTTGACTGTGAACGTCGTTTTACAGCAGGCGCTGATTTACGGCAGCGAGCGTACAGTCAATGACCAACGAACTTTACATCATAATCTTCACAACTCCAATAAATTTTAATGAAACTCTGATTCTTTTGATAATAATAATAATAATAATAATAATAATAATAATAATAATAATACGGACACAGACCGTACAGACTTTATGATCGCTTCAGAGGTTTTTCCCTATCTCTCTTGTTTACCATGTTACCGGTAAGTCTGAATGAATTAACGTTATACATTGGTGTTCATGGTTTCAATAAAATTAAATAAAGTATTGAACTGTGGAGAATGTAACTGATGCCACGACGTGCGGCATCCATATTGACTAATATGGTCATACGGAGTCTCTTAAATAAGTGCTTCACGTTGTGGCGGACCAGACAGGAGGGGTTGGGTCAATATGGAAAGTTCAAGCAGCAGCAGTCCCTCCAAAACAACCTTCCATTACTCTCAATATCGCCATCACTTCGACTTGCATCCATTTATTTTTTTTTTAGCCTTAGGTTAAAAATTTAAAGATTTAAAGATTTTGAAGTAATCCAAGAGTATTCAGATTACATTTCTTTGTAATTCAGTGGATTATGTTACTAATTACAAAAAATTTTAATCTATATTCAGTAACTGAGCCAACGAACTCTGCAAAATGCACCTAAAGATAATTAAGGAAAAGCTATAACAGTATAGAAAAACTGATTTATATTGTCTGCCCTAATGAGAGCTTGACAACACTCGACACCGGGGTGACTGGACGAATATATCGGCTACGGTCCATCACCGGTTTTTGTTCGTCATTTTCTTTTGTTTAATTTAACGGTCTGCTTCTGAACAACAAGAGCTGCTCAGTTACACATTCAGCAGCGCAGACTACAGAGCCGCTGAAAGACAAACAGCTGTAAAGCCAGTGTATTTTCATATCTAACTGCAGTGAATTAAGGATTTATCGACAGGGAACACAGTTACAAGGTGATTCATTGAGGCTCCAAACAAGACCAACTTGAACCAGAGTTGGTGTGTTGGAACAGTGTAAAGACTAATAAAGACGGTCATCATTTTATTTAGTTTCGATCAAGTTTGAATGAAGTGTGTTTTAAGATTAGTTTACAAGGTCTTATAAGAAAGAAACTGAAGATGTGCGGTGGTATTTTTCTATTTAACGCAGAAAAAAGGTGTTTTTTCCTTTCTTGACATTTGGGGAGTTTTTTTGGTTTATTAAAGCAATGAGAGCGTAGTGAACTCCTCCCAAATAAAGCTGGTGCATCACACACCACATCACCCGACCCCACCTGACACCTCAATTATGATGAACAAAATGAATCAATCTCTGATAAATTTTAAAGGGACACTCCAGTGATTTACTGATGCAATACCATAAAGATATTGGGACTCACATAAAACCGAGAAGAATGGTCAGAATGAAGTCCCACATTTCCTATAACTAATCACTAAAACCTCCATCCAAGGTACGCCCGTGTCTTTCAAACTCTATACCCCCACCACTTTGTAATGCAAGCTTTCTGTTATAAATGTGAAGCCAATCTGAGAAAATAACCACTGATTACATCATCAGGGTTATTTTCTCACCCTTTACTGCTCAGTGCTCGCTACGACGGTTAAACTGACAAACTGACCTTTGTGTGTAAAACTACTGGAGTTCCCCTTGAACAAAAAGTAGTACCTTGCAGGAATATTATTAGTTTGCAAGGCATTTACATCCATGTAGGTAAATCTATGATACAAATAAATCCACACAAGATAATTAAAATCTAAATCTATCCAGGGCTCTAAAGCGAGTATTTCACTCGCATTTGCCCCTAGAAACTGTGCAAGCAGCAAGTTACAACTCTTTTCCACACATAGATTTTACTTAGGCAGGCCTCCCAGGTATAGTAATGGCCACTAAAGAATATTTGGTGACGTACGTTGGCATTTTTGGCTTTTATTTTTTTATCCATTCAACAGAAAACCACCATCCGCAGTCAATTAGTGGACGTCTCCAGTTGCTCTACCCCTCCTGTACAGTCTTCTGACAATCATACATACTCCGCAGAGAGAGGAGGGGAGAGAGGTTCTTTGATATTATGTTAAGACGCTGTGGACACTGTGCATACTTATAGTGTATACTTATATACAGGCACGGAACAGGTAGTGACAGTGAACACACACGGTTGGTACAGACGTCATTCAGGACCATGTTGTTTGAAGGCGGGACTGGGCAAACCTGTGTGTGTGTGTGTGTGTGTGTGTGTGTGTGTGTGTGTGTGTGTGTGTGTGTGTGTGCGCAAGCAAGAGACAGAGGTGTAGGTGTTTCCCCTGCGTGTGGAAAATGTAGAAGCAAGTCGAGCAGGTTGAAGTAATTTGTGAGTTAACACTAAAATAAGATGGAGAATTAGAATTAAAATTGTAAAATAAGAACTAACACACTAGAAATAAGGTAATACTTTCAAATATTTACAAATCCAATATACAAATTTGGATCATGTCTTATCACACGCTTTTCATTAGTCGGATAGTTGCAGAAAACAAAAACAAAGGTAAACTCTATTCGGGAACTGCACCTTGTCACCAGGACGAAAGTAGCAGGGGATTGTTGCAACACGGATACCTTTTCTTGTGTAACACAGGGCGCCACTTCCTGGTGCAGTGTTTGTCTATTCCCTATTATTGACTCTACCAAGAATGGGACAGGAGGAGGTTTGTTTACACGACTATCATAAAAGCAGACTTGTGTGATGTTATACTGTGTAGAAATAAATTAACATTTGCTGGTTGTTCAGACACATTCATAATCCGGTGCCACACCCTCACCAAAGAGGAGTTGGCAAGACGTATCCTGGTCTAGTGTATTGACTGCGAAAGTCAGAAAATGGAAGACAGGAAAGGTGAGTGAGACAGAGAGAGTGAAAACTGAGATCTAAATTAGGGGTGTCTGAAAACACACTTATTTAGAGTTATTTGAGCAGTGTTGGGCAAGTTTCTTCCAAAAAGTAACTAAATTAGTTACTCAGTTACAAATTATAAAAGTAACTAGTTACTTCAGAAAGTAACTATTGCGTTACTTTCAAGTAAACTTTTAAATGCTCAAATGAGACCCCACCTCCACCCCTCTTTAACGGAACTTAAAATACATGTGCATGTTCAATTATTTATGATAAATCTGAATATTATAATGAAATGGACACTTAATACAATCCATTATTAACAGAAACAATGTACACAAATCTAAACTATTTTAATGTTGCTGTGGGACAAAGTGAGACTAGCCTCCAATCAAATGCCATGTATGTAGATATAATGTTTATATAGTGGATTGATACAAATAAAACAATAGATGTTTTGGAACTTTTGATATTTATTGCCCCTCAACAGGCCACAACTGGCCAAATTAAATTATGCTTAAATTAGTTAAGCACAATACCAAAAATAAATAACAAATATATACACTCTTTGTAGTGCAAATAAAACAAAAAAAACTTGAACAGAACAGTGTAACAATATGAGGTGCTTTCAATTTAACATAATAATAATAATAGCATAATGTGCATTTCACGATTACATTCGTTCCTTTAATTTCTTGGAGGGAACAGTAATGGCTATACTTCCATTTAGAGAAGGCTACTTTTGGATTATTTGCGCTCGCCATACCTGTCCCTCGTTGACTGACTCGCTTGTGTTGTTCGTTGTGTGTCCGACTATGCACGCTTTCTAACACCCGCCCAACTCTACCTCTGATTGGCTTACCATGAAATTTTACTCAACCTCAGCCAATCGTCAGCATGTGTGCGCTTGTCTCATGCACTGCCCACTAACCGAGGAAGAACAGAAAAAAAAAGTCTTTGCCTCTCGGCTCAGAGATCTAGTTGGTCTGATGAAAAAAAAACATTTTTTGGCAGTAACGGTAACAGCGTTATTAAGATGGGAAGAGTAATCAATTAGATTACTCGTTACTGAAAAAAGTAACGCCGTTATTTATAACGCCGTTATTCCCATCACTGTATTTGAGTAGTGTGAGAGAGGCTGAAAAGTGGACAAGTACTGACCCTGCATGAGGAAGGTGCTCAGCAGCTGGTCTGTGGCCACAGGTTTAATCTCCGTCCGCAGGTTGACGTATCTCCCTACAACTAGAGGTGCTCTCCTGAAACCCAGGATCCTGCAGAGTGGACGGACCGACAGAACATGATCCCAGAACATTATTATAGTCCTACTCCATTAACAGATCATTAACAGATCAGAGAGAATGAATGTTAAGCACTCCAATATTGATGTTTACACACCTGTCCAGGTGAAAAGCAGCTACCTCTGCGTTGTGTCTATCATATCCTGCGTATGGCTCGCCTTCAACCACGTAGTCTCTGTTATATCTGAGGAAGGGTGGAACGGACAAAAATATGAAAACGGAATCACTCTCAGGCATAAAATACAAGTTAGTAATTCAATTATGATCAAATCTGACCTCTTGGGTTTGAACACCACTTTCTGTCCCCCGTCCAGCACCAGCAGGGCTTTGAGCTGCGTACCCTTATAGCCCACATCTGCCCGTTCTATCCTGGCAGTGCTGAGGGAGGTGAGCACAGCAGCCAGCTCTGGGGTCTCCTCAGGGTACACCTCTCTTGGGCCCACCCACTGGCTCGCTATCTCCCATGGAGACTGGAGGGTGTTGGTAAGGCGAGCTCCTCGGGACAGAGTAAGGCCAGCTTCCATCTGTAAGAGGCGGGTGACAACAACACAGTGTGTGATATATATACACACACACACCAACACACACACATATGTATATGTCTGCCATATGCTAACTAGCTCTGCCGAGTGTGACTAGCTATAGCCATTTAAGAGTCTTGGCAGCCGACTTTATTAATCTCTCCAATGACAGCGCAATTGTTTTTATACATTCTTCAAACAAAGCTGAAGATGAAAATTGTTTTCTGGCACCCTGACCTTGCGAAACGATCTGAGGTCCCGTCGGCTGGCTGCGGAGCCCTCGCCTCCATCCAGCAGGAAGATCTTGGCCAGGCCCAGCAGGAGGAGCACGGCACACAGCACCACCATGCGCTGTTTGAGCTTCATCTCCACACCGACCGGCCCGACCCCCTCCTCACCGGACGCTGTGTGTGTCCCCCGCAGCGAATCTCCCTCACCCCTGATGCATGGCCCCTGCAACTACCCTTCACCTGCCCGCCCGCCCGCCTGCCCCGTCAGACAAACTCTTCTGAAGGACGGGAGCTTCACGGCCTCTCTCCTGGAACTACAATCTGAGCAGACAGGCAGTCACCTGGAGGGGGGAGAGAGGGAAATGAGAGAAATCTGGAAGGGAGGAGGAACAGAGACAGGAGAGGACTAGAAAACAGAACAGACACAGATGAAAAATGTACTGTCAATAATATGTGGAGAGAAAATGGATTGATTTGCTGCCCCTCTCGCTTGTTTCCCCTCGGGGCAGCGCAGCTGAACCCAATCCAGCAAATGTAACTACAATAGGATGACACAGACCGGTCTGTGTAGATGTGTGTGTACGCCACAGCACAAAACTTGTACTGTGCGCGAAATGAGCAGCAGAGCTTACTTTGGCTGTTAACTGTATGTGCTGCTATTGGCTGGGCTGTGTTCAAGCTGTATGGGCCACATTCACAGCACCCAAACTTCCCTGCTTCAGGTAGCCAATACAACCCCTCCCTCTCCAAACAATGGCAAATCTGTCTTATCAGGAGCCAGGTGATGGCCACCGTACTGTGGTGCAGATGGGGGGGGGGTGTCTGATGAGGTGTTAACACAGACAGTCTAACCTTGCAGAAGAGAAACCCTGGTGATGTAATTACAAAGCCTCATGTTGAATTCACCTGCCTGCTCCTGAACATGAACACAACCAGCTTACACACGGGGCCTTACGTGTTGTGAGCCTCCAGTAGCGGCAGTAAAATGAACACAGTTGCCACGTTTGACTCTGCTGCCGTTAATGTCACGTTATCAAACCTGCGACATAACAACAACAAGCTAGCCATTAGCAGGCTAACACACACCACAATGAACAGGTGGGGCTGGTTTTGATACAGCTCAGCAGACACAGGTCTGGCCACGCAGGCAATCGCTTCTTCCACACAATCGGTCTTTCATGATGTTGCTGCCTTTGAGAAACAGCAGAGAGGAAACGGTCGTCCGCCTCCGACCGCACACACATACCCATCTAAAGCCTCCCAGTGGTGGCTCTACTTCCTACCACGATTGTTCCTGCGTTATCTGCCTTTATCGGCCCACAGTGTCTGCGACGATATGGCCACATCTATCACGACAGAGCTAACTAGCTGCTTTAGCACACCGCTGTACACCTTGCTGTGTAGGTTAGCTGAAGCTAGCTACAGTAACGCTACGTCGTCTGTTGTTTTTGCTGGCTGAGCTGACTTACCTTTTAGCCATCTGCCTTCACCCGCACATAAAGTCGCCTCCAAGTGTCTGTAAAGTCCTGCGATATTGGAGTTAAATGTGATAAACTGTCCCGTTGCTAAAAGTCGCGGTGGTTTGTCATTTTCTCAATCCCTCCCGGTTGCTGTCTCTCCTCCGCCCGTTTCCCTCGGTTCGTTGGCTGCCGTGTCCACTTCCGAAACACTTGCTCCTCCTGTAAGTGCTGCTGCTGGCCACCAGGTGGCGGTGGTGCACTGTGAGCACAGCCCACGGTTTCACCATACATAGCGGGCAAACATTTCACTGGCGACCGGTGGTGTAGTGGTTATAGTCTGAATTTATGCCCTAGATAAACGCCCTGTTAGTAGTAGCCTGTTTGCACATTGTCACTTAACCTCTGCTGCTTGAGTTCATGCAGTATCATTATAAAGTCAACATTAGCCGCATTACAGGTGCAGATTCCGTAATCAATACTGGCCCACAGACTGGTGAGATAACCATATAATTATGTATTTTAAGTTAAAGTTATTCTTTCCTCCATCCAGTCAAGAAAACTGGTGTGATGCCTTCGCCATCCTAGGAAAAAAAGAAAAAACATCTTGCAGAACATTACTAAATGATGCACATCAGAGGGGATTCAGAAGTTGGTGTACCCAATGCTGACTGAAAAATAAATGTGTACCCTCTGCACTACACCACTGCTTGCCACCACTTTCAAATTGTTTTATTTGAATAATTAACAGAGGCCTGAAAAGGTTTTTCTGTCTGTAATTCACATGCTACTTTCTAATTTTGGCATCATTGGCAGTTTTTTCTGTGTTTCTATCCTGTTAAACATATATCCGGATTAGTCAAAATCAGTAGCCACTTAAAACTGTAACAGTTTGATGTTACAACAAACTGCTGAATATTCCTATATTATTTAAAATTACATAAGTAATGTTTTCTTTTACTGACCGCCCCCCTTCACTGCAAATGAGCCCACAGCTGTTCATTTTGTTAGGAGTAAAAATCCAACATCTGTACTGTGATGGATGTGACTGTAACTGCAGCCTTGTGAAGCAATGCGTCATTAAAATAAATGACTGACTGAAAAAAATAAGTTAACACAATTACAGTAACTGAAGTAATTTGTTTCTTGGTATTTTGTTAACCAATTCCAACAATCAAGATTTTTGGATAATATTGTTATAAAGGAACAATAACTAATAACGTAATTAAGCAGAGTCTGCAGGAGAAATCCCTTCAGGCAACTTTCATCGACAGTTACAGGCTCTCAGTTATCCCTGCTGCTCTGCAACAACTCAAACAGCAGCTTGAAACAGGCTGGAACTGATTGTCAGTATTTAATAAGAACTGAGCCGTGTAATACAACCGTGATACAATACACAGACTTCCACTCACGTCTGTTCCCCCAATATCCTAGACACGCATTCGTCAACAGAAAAAAAGAAGCATGAAACTGATGTGGAGTAAAAAAGGGCAGAGTGTTTATTGGTTCTCAGTCTTCACACCAGGCAGCACATCACTCAGCAGTGAGGTCACAGCGCTCGCCACAGTCATGACACGGGCAGACAGAGACAGACACACACAGTGCCAGGTAAAGGGTGAAGGTTAAAAGGTCATTTACACATCACCCCCCGTCACCTTCGGCGACTTGAACGAAGGTTGTTGTCGGTGTCCTTG